TCCTTCCGTGCTCGCTTGTGGGGCACGCAGGAAGGGCACGAGAGCCGGCATCTCCACGGCATTTGCATCAGGGCTGGGTTTCTGCCCATCATGCTCAAACGCAGAAAAGGGGTTTTCTGTTTGTTTGTTTGTTTGCTTGATTTTTCCTCCTGCTTCATTTATCTCAGGCCATTTTCTGCTCATCTCTGAAGCTGCCTTGTTCCTACAGACCAAGTTCTTGCTCCATCCCTGGCTTGTGTTTGGAGACATCGGGACAGGTTTATCCATCCTCATCTTTCAGAGTGGGGGATTGGGCATGTGAAACCTCCAGTTTCCCTCTGCCAAAGAGCATGAGCTTTCTTCTTTCCACACGTGTCTCACCTACCTCCCATCTCATTTCCCATAACCTATTTTTCAGTGCCTTCAAGGAAATCTTTGACCTCGATGAGCTAGCCTGAGACTTTCTATGGCTTGGTGCCACAAAATTACATGTTTTTAAGCAGTTTAATGGCTGCAGAAGCAAAGCAAAGCCATGCAGCAGAGCACTTCTTTCCTGCCACAGTCGTGGCTTTTGGGAGGTATTTGCATCCCATTTTTGTAGACCTCTGGTTTAGGCACCATAAGAAGGATGTCTGGAAGGGTTCAAGGCCAGGTTGGACGGGGCTGGGAGCCCCCTGGGCTGGGGGAAGGAGGCCCTGCCCGGGGCAGGGGGGTTGGGACTAGGTGGTCTTTAAGGTCCCTTCCGACCCAAACCATCATGTGATTCTAATGAGGATCCAGTGGGTGTAAAAAAACTTCAAAAATCTAATAAAAATAAAAATAAAACTCAAATCAAACTCTTGCCTGCAAAGGTGCGGCTGCTGCAGAAAATACAGAAGCTGTTAGGATATTTCTAACATGTTTCAGCTGTTGCTGGCCTGGATAAGTCCACAGATCAATGTATGAGGGTCACTCTTCTGAATTACTGGCATCCAGGAAGTGGTTAGCTTAAATATAGTCACGGGCTAGATCCTTACCCTCCTTCTCCCTTTTCAGAATTACCACTCAGCATGCATATATATTAGCCGCCCGCAATGACTGCAAGTTTTTCCTTCCTGAGAAAACACCACAATGTTTATCAATATACACATTAGTCATACATCAAAACCACCGTGGCTACTGTCAAGATAATTCAGAAACTCTGGGATTACAGTATCTCTGTCAAGTTCCCCTTTCTGGCCGCATCCACATTTATTTCACCTTTCCCACCTGAAGCAGAAACTTGTAGCAGCTTGAGGACCAGCTAGGCAAACGCACATCTTCTGGGGCGATGCAGTGGGGATTCACCAAACTACCCCGGCGTCCTGGGGGGGAAACCCAGGCGCGTCGCTTCAGAGATGGAGCCAGAGCTGGGCTTCTCTATGAAAATCTGCCTCTAGGTATGAATCAGGAGGGCATGTCTGACAGGGAACCGCTGGCTGTGCTCTGTTCAGCCTCGCAGCCGGGTAGCGATGACTGCCGTGCCACCCCACCGCCTGAAGTCGCTGGTGTTTTGGGGCTGTTTTTTCCCGAAGCAGCCGTGGGCCAGGCCGGGCAGCGCTGCCTCCCCAAAGGATGTCGTGGTGGCCGTCGCTTCCCCACAGCCCCGGGGTCAGCATGTCCTGGCAGCATTGACCTCTCCTACTTGGAGGGGAGCTGCTGCCAAGGCCACCTCTGCAGAGGGGGACACCTTCCTCTGTGCTCCTGAGGAAGAGGGGGCCCTCCTGCGCACCCCCGAGAGACGTGTGGGTTTCATCCTGGGTACAAAGTGAGTCAATAAGCACCCCGACTGGCATGGGCGAAGTGCTGCGAGGACAAGCACAGAGCAACATGTCAGCACAAAGCAGCACATCCCTAGAGGAGGCAACCCCAGTGAAAGCACCTGGGATAGGTCTGGGGGCAAACATCTGCCTCCGGTGAAAACTGAGGTGGTACGGCCAAACGGATTGCCCAGGACCCCTCTAAAGCCACCTCTCTAAGTCCATCCAGCCGAAACATGCTTCTGTAGCTCCCACTTCCCTCCAGGGGAGGCAGGAGATGGACACCTGCCCTGTAGCCACAAATCTGAGGGGTCATCTCATTCATGAATTATCTTGGTCTGTCCATTGCATGTCCCCCAGGGGTAGTTTTCTCCTGTACTCATTTCCTTAAGTGCCACCAGCGCTGGTGTTGGTTTCCCTGGGCTGTGGAAGAGCCACGCTTGGCGTGCTGGCTGCGTGCCCCGACTCCGTCCTCTCCGCCGTGCAGCTCTGGGGAAAGTTGCTTTCACTTCTCTTGGTTTTCCCCAGCTATAAACGCAGGATCATTCTGAAGTCATGAACCTCAGAAAAACTTTGAAACTTTTTTGATGCCTCCGTTGCACTTTGAGAAGGTGATCAGTCATCTCTCCCAGTAGATCACTGCCTTCCCTACTCTTTTGCAGACGTGACTTTGAAGAGACCCCTGCCACGACCCAGCAAAACCATTTAAACTACTACTAGGTTGGGCTCCTTCTACTAACTGTCTGCAAAGAAATTGAGAACTCTGAAAGTATTGGAACAAAAACTAGTTTTAAAGACATCTCCTTTTCTACAGCCATAGCAGCCAGGCTCTCATTCCCTACATCAGACTTTGGGAATAGCTCATGGAAATTTTCCCTGGACTCTCTGCGACCCTGATGTCCAGGGAGTTAAACTCCTCGCTTGTCCATTTTTGACCTTAATCTCTTGAACAAGGTCTTTACAAAACTTCTGAACCTATCTCAGAGGAAAACCAAGTTTTTAAGAGAAATTTTAACATTTTGTTACTATATAAAATGCTGATGTGATTTGAAAGCTCCAAATTACAACATTATCACACAACCACATCATTTTATTTCTGCCCTCTTCCTTCCTCCTCACCTCGCTCTTGTGGCCATGTGTCCCCTTCCCTTTTTGCTTCCTTGCTGGTGACTTCGCCTTATTCAGGATACCCTGTCCCACCAAAACCCGAGAGCACAAGGTGCTGCTGTGGCTATCGCTTTGCAGCGGTGGCCCTTGAGTATCCTGGGTGAGAGCCAAAGGTGTTGGTTGGTATTACAGGACTGACACCTTGCATGCCAAAATGCGTTGCTGTAGTCCTTCAGGGGCTTGTTTGGAGAGAAACACCAAAGATGCTGTGAAATGTGCAGAGGAGCAAACACCAGCCTGTGGTCCCCCAAAACGGGCAGGAGTATTCACAGAACCACAGACTGGTTTGGGTTGGCAGGGCCCTTAAAGCCCCCCCAGTGCCCCCCCCTGCCCCGGGCAGGGCCCCCTTCCCCCAGCCCAGGGGGCTCCCAGCCCCGTCCAACCTGGCCTTGAACCCTTCCAGGGAGGGGGCAGCCACAGCTGCTCTGGGCACCCTGGGCCAGCGCCTCACCCCCCGCACAGGGAAGGATTTCTGCCTTAGAGCTCACCTAAATCTGCCCTCTGTCAGTTTAAAACCATCACCCCTCATCCTATCATTGCACCCCCTGATCCAGAGTCCCCCCCCACCTCTCCTGCCCCCCCTTTAAGCCCTGGGAGGCCGCTCGAAGGTCCCCCCGGAGCCTTCTCTTCTCCAGGCTGAACCCCCCAACTCTCTCAGCCCGGCCCCCCAGGGGAGCTGCTCCAGCCCCCCCAGCATCTCCGTGGCCTCCTCTGGCCCCGCTCGAGCAGCTCCGTGTCCTTCTGCTGTTGGGGGCCCCCGAGCTGGCCCCAGCACTGCAGGGGGGTCTCCCCAGAGCGGAGCAGAGGGGGAGAATCCCCTCCCTCAACCTTGTGTATAAGGCCTGGAGGGCTCCGTGTTGCCGGAATAAAGCCTCAAAGCCCTGTGGACGCATGACTCTACAGCACTGGGAGGATGTGCACGGTCTGACCTCCCTTTCTATATGTCCCTGCAGTTTCCTACTGCCCCATACACATTTACTTTGATGTCAGTAGTTTGCCCGCTACCCTTTGATTATCCTTGCCGCGAATGATGGAGAACTGGCTCACCGACTGCACAGCGCGCTGAGCTGGGAACGGAATAAAAGCTGCTTTTCCTGAAACGCTAGGCGGGCAGGACACCTCTAGCTAAGCCCAGACTATGTCAGGCCTTAAATGAGGTCAAACAGGGAGACCCCCGAAGCCACCCCTTGTGCTGGCCTGTGGCTCCTTGCGCGTCCAAATGGGGATTTGGTCCCTGTGTTATCGAAGGGCGCCCTGGCCCGAGCGTAGAGAGACGTTCCCAAGGGAAACGGTGGGGCTGCAGCCCCTCTCCCTCCAGCCCCAGCACCGCAAGGGGGAGAGCTCAGGTCTCCCCTCACGAATCCCTGAGTCCATCCCAGCCCCTGTTGCTTTTCCTGCTGAGCTTTGCTGGCATCCACTTGTGTTTCTCTCCCGGCCACTTGTGCCATGAGTCGCTGCTGATAAACGCGCACGTCAGCACTTAGTCATGAATGTGCAGAGATGTAGGAATGGTTTGCTTTTTGCTGGTGCTACTGTACCAGTCATCTCTTGCATTTCCTGGGTGTTTTACTTGTACAGCGAGGTGCTAGATTTGAAGGGTCTGAGTGGAAATGTGTAGCAGAGTTCTTTATTATTTTTCCACGGTACGGTGCTAGGCATTTTTGCTGATGTAAGAGATAGCAAAAACAGCGTAGGGGAATTATAGCCCTAAGAAAGAAATATGTAAATATCTGTTTGCATTAAAAACCCCCCTGCTTACCCGGGGCTGGCGCTCTGATTTTATTCTGGGCTCTTTTTGTGGTTGAGGGGTAAATGCTAAAGGGAATGAAAGGTCATGTTTGTACAGACTCGGCTGATAAGAAACAGGGTGTGGGGAAGATCGCATGGGGAATCCAAATGTGCACTTCGTCCCAATGGTTTGTTTTAATCAATAACGTTGTAAATTCAGCTTCTGACCTGGCTGCGGGGAGCATCCGAGAAATTACATCACCTCTCTTCACGGTCTGCTGGTCGGACGTGACCGCTGAAGTTTGAATCTTGCTTGCTTGTGTCAGAGCGTGACCCTCCCGAATAAATAGGGGTGTTTCTTCACCCGGTTCCTCAGAGCATCTCCGGGGCTGAACCTGCTGCGAGGATGCGAGGGCTGGCTGGGGTGGGGAGGGGAGCCCCCGCGCTCCCGTGGCTGCTGCTGCTGCTGCTGCTGGTGATGGTGATGTCCCACTCAGCCCACGCAGGTGAGCTTCTGGTGTCTTTGCAGAGATACCCACGGGTGTCAGCTCCCAGCCTGCCGTGGTCCTCGCCGTGGGTGGGCATCGCCTGCATCCTGCCCTGAAAGGAACCGGAGGAGATGGAGATTCCTCCTGGCTCTTTAGCCCAGGGTTTTTCTCGTAGCCAAGGAGAGAGCGTAAGGAAAGAGCTGAGGATGTGGTTCAGCTCTCCGGAGCTGTGTGAGAGCGGGGTGCCGAGGCAGAGGCACAGCTAACAGTTTCTTACTGTGGTCCCCGAAGCGTTGTCAGTGAAAGCGCGGAAAGGGACAATTTCTTTGGCGCTCTGAGAGATTCGGAGTTGCTGCATCTCTAAAGAACGCTGTTTGTCTCTGCAAGCTGCTACCTTCTCTCTCTCTCAGCCATCCTGGAGGTGAATGGAAACCTGAACTGTAGGTGCGTAAAGACAGCTTCGGACTACATCAATCCAAAGAGATACGAAAGCATCGAGATCAGACCTGTGGGAAGCACCTGCAGGCGTACAGAGATCATGTAAGTGCCGCGGGCGGCTCGTGGGGCAGAAAGCCCCTTTCTCCTCCGGCAGCACTGCCCCTTTTCTTCTGCAACCAGCCCGCTTCTCCGCTCCCTTCCCGAAAACTAAAGCTTTTTGCAAATGCCGACAAGCTCACTCGCGCTTCGGGGCTGGGGAACATCAGGTGTTGGAAACACAGCCGAGGCGACCTGTCAGAGGTCCCCAGGACCTTAAAGGAGAATTTCCAGCAAGGGAAAGCATGATTTCCTCGTGCTGGTGCTTAGTGGGGAGCGTGCTGGCGGGAGGTGTTTGCAGTTTGGAGGAAGCACATCCTCAGACACGGAGGCAGTGTGAGCCATAACCAATTTTTCCGCTACTCTGCAACACTCCTGAGAGGAAACAGCATCTTGGATCAAGCCCTTATCTCGTTACTCCTAACCTAAAGCAGTGTGTTAAGCAGAAGCATAAGGTTTCGTTAACTGCTCGGCGTTGATACATTTGTAAATCCACAGAGAAAATTGTCTTTGAACAGTCACCTCTGGGCTTCAAGCACGGTCTCTGCTCCACGCAGGAACATGTTGCATCTTGCTTTTTCCTGACCATCCTGCGGCTTCCCTGTGTGGCTAGCAGCTTTCTGCGATCTGCTGGCGCTGTAAATGAAAGCTGAGTCTTGCAGATGAGCTCCAGCTGCTCAAAGCCCTGCCTTGGGAGGGGAGGGTAACGCTCCTAAACTCTCCTTGCCTTTCAGAATTAAAATAAAAACCTCAGGAAAGGTGTGCGTGAATCCTGACGCCCCTTGGGTAAAGAAACTGCTGAAGCGTATTGCTAGCACGTAAGTTGCTTTGATGAAACTTCCTTTGGCTCAGCTGGCCCTTTGACAGCATCCCATCGCCTCTGCTGTCCTGGGGAGCGCTCGCAGGACCAAGGGCTTTTGGGGGGGGGGCTGTCAGGGGTCGAGGGACCCACTCCCAAAGTGATGAGGAGTGAGACCTCGCTGCGCAAAGCAGCGCTCGGTCGTTCGGCGTGACGATGCTGCCATCCGTGGGTTGTGTTCTCCCCAGCTCGCGCATGGTGCTGCGCCCCTGAAAACCTTTTGGCAAAGGGGAAAAAAAAAAAAGAATTGTAGGGGGGGTGGAAAATGGCAGGAGCAGGGTTTGCTTATTGTGAGTGCAATCGTGTGTTGGCGCCTGGCTGGGAAAGCCGCTCTCCTTCGTCATGCCCAGGTTTGTGGCACGGCGTGAGGGCGGCCAGGAGACCTCCCTGTGAGCGACGCCTGCTCCGGGGAAACGGCGGTGACTTCCTTCAGCTGGGGCAGGAGCTTCCTCCCCCAGGGCCTGCTTTGCTCTGAGTTCACACGTTTCTCCTCCTTCTGCTTTTCGCAGGAAGAAAAAATAAGTTTCCTGCTAAGGAAGTTGACGCTCAGAGCCCCGAGACGGGCTGGCAGATGATGCCCAGGCGTGCAAACCTGGCCGCTCCTCGCTTCCCCCCCTTCCCGAAAGCACCGAGGGCAGCTTGCTGCTGACCCCACGGCAGGTTCGTGGGGGTGTTACCCCCCTGCATTCGGGCCCTGGATCAGTGGAAATATGAACCCTTCGTTTATTCACTTGCCCGTAGACCGTGAAGCCTTTCTCTGTCAGGGCTGCTCCCATCTCTGTTGGAACAACTTTGCGACTCTTTCCGTGCGAAGCGCTCATCGGCAGAGCGCGTGTCTGGGGTTTTATTACACAGCGTGGCGTGTCCTGTCCTGAGAGCTCAAGTCAAATAAAACTCATTGGTTATTGTTTTGTTTTGTTTTCTCCTATTGTATTTTCTTTGCATCTCCTAGCTTCAAAGAAACTCGGCAGAGCTTTGATAAACCCCACTTTCGTAGCCTTCTTGGAGCTAAATTTACCGTCGTTTGCATCTGGTGCTCTTGATTTGCTCTTATCTTTCACAGATATGCTGCAGGCATTAAAATGTATATTTGTGCATACATCAGGTGAGGTATTTTTGCTGTAGGTAGGGGAATGAGGGCAGCACGTTAGGCACCATGAAAACCCCTTTTACACAGAGGAAAGATTTGTCCAAGACAGCGATGGCCCAGCCGCCGCGGCGCAGCCGGTGGGAAGCAAAGCTCTTTCCCAGTATAACCCGTTGCCTCCCTTGGTGCTGGTTTGAGGGTGCAATGTTGCTGGCAGGGAGCTGGGTGATAGAGCCAATGCACCGGCGTTTGCGATGGGGCTGGGCTTTGCAGCGGGCTCGAAGGCTTTTGAAAGCAGTAAAGGCCACTGAGGAAATATAGAGGGTGGGTGTGAGGTCACTTGGCAGAGTTGTGAGATAATTGGCCGTGGGGGGAAAGAGCAAAAGCAAATGTCACCAAAGCTCAGGCTGGGATGCGCCTTGCAGCGGGGAAGTGTGGTTGTAGGAGAAATTAGTTATATCTGATCCTGCAGAGGAGAAAAGCACCCCCCAAAAAAACCTCCCGGCTTGTGCAGCTGTGGGGGCTAAGAATAAGCACTGGGGGAAACAATCGGTATCTTTACGAGACCTGGCTTGGTAGGAAGGGGAAAATGGAGATGGTTTCAGGAAGCCCGAGCCCCAAGCCGCTTTTTATCGGCAGTGCTGCAAGCTCAGCGAGCACCGTCAGCAGGGAGCGGAGACGGGCGAAAACCACCCCAACCCCGGGGCCTCCCGCCCGTGCCGCCCCACTTCCCTTATTTTCCAGCTCAAATAGGGGGCTGCTGCCGGGGCTGGGGATGGGGCTGGCATGGCTGCTTGGGTGGCCCTGCTGCTGGGGGTGCTGCTGGCGACCCACCGCCCTGGGGATGCAGGTGAGGCTCCCCGTGCCCCCTCTGCGGGGGGGGTGTGAGGTTTTCAGAGGCGGCATCACGCTCCTCTCTCCGGGGCTTTTAAATACCACCGAGGCTTTATTGTAAGCGGGTGCGGTGAGCCTGGGGGGGGGGATTTGGGGGGAAGGGGGGGGAAGGGAGATGCGTTGCCCAGAAAAGGTTTTGGGGACGGTGATGGGTTTTGGGGGGGATGCGTGAGCCGCGGCCGTGTGCCCCTCCAGCTCTCCTGGAAGCCAACGGCAACCTGAGCTGCCGCTGTGCCAAGACCACCAGATCCTTTATCCCCCCACGGAAATACAGCAGCATCGAGGTCCGGCCGGTGGGGAGCAGCTGCCGGCGTCTCGAGGTGGTGTAAGTAGCTCCGGGAAGTGTGTGGGGGGTGTGTGTGGTACGAGCCCTCTGCTGCCCCCCCCATCCTCCCTGAATTATTTCAGTTTTGCGCTCTTTTTCTTGATGAGGAGCAGCGGGGGTGGTGCTCGGCTGCTCGAGCCCCGCCACTGGAGGAGAGGGAAGTGACGGTGCTGAAACCCTGCGTGTTTTCTAGGATTAAGCTAAAAAGCCTGGAGAGGGTCTGCGTAGATCCAGAGACCCCTTGGGTGAAGAAACTCCTGCAGGACCTCCCTAACCTGTAAGCCCTGTCCCCACCCTGAGCAAAAGGGGCTCCTGGAGGGACCAGGGGCATTTCGTGGGGACCCGCCTTCACACGTTTCTCCCCCCCCACCCCCCCCACCCCGTTCTGCTTTTGGCAGGAGGAAGAAAGAGGCTCCCCACTGAGGAAGCTGCTGCCGGTGGGACGGCCAGATGTGCTGAGCCTGACCGGTCCCCCCAGCTGCCCCCTTGCCCCGGTGCAGGGCAGGGGGGGGGCATGCTGCTGCCTGAAGCCCTGAGCCCCTTTTTCCTTTGCATTAAATGCATTTAAGACCTCGAAAACGCGACTCCTTGCTTCCCCACCCTCCCAGCCCGTGGCCTCCCCTTTGGGTACAACCTTACAGGTCCAATAAAGGTGACAGCCCTCGGTCACCGTCGCTTCCACCCCACGCTGCGGCACGCCGAGGGGCTCGGGGGTGCGGCGGGGAGCGGGTCCCCGTGGGCTGGGGGAGCAGAGCGGGGCTCACCAGCGTTTCTCCGCCAAGAAACACGGGGCAAGCAGGAGGTTTTAGGAGGCGGCCGGGGTGGTTGCTGCCTTTTTCGGCGGGGAGGCGGCGGAGGCCACGTGCGACAAGGGGGGAAGTGGCGGCAGGGAAGTCGAAGCAGGGGGCAGCTCCCTTCTCCCCCCCCCCGGCTTTTCCCACCCTGCGAAATCCCCAGTGGGGCTGGCTATAAAGCAGCCCCTGCGGTGACTCGGGACGGGCAGTGAGGATGCGGCTGCTGCCGGCGGCGCTGGCCCTGGCCCTGCTCCTGAGCAACTCGGTGCCGGGGGGTGGTGAGTGACCGTGGAGCATCCATCCATCTCCCCCCTCCAAATCCCTAGGCAGAGGCGTTGGGTGCCCTGCCTGGGGCTGAGCACGGGCTCCTCTAAGCTTTCAAATCCGTCTCTTGCCTATCTTTGAGCTTGAGTTGATCTTTTAAACCCCGGGGCTAAGCTGGAGGGGGATGCCCGGGACCGGGGCAGGGCGGGGATTTACCTGATGCACTTAAGCTTCTTCAAGACCCCCCGTGAAACTTGAGCGCTTGGTGGGCGGGCAGTGGGTTTAATTCATAAGATGTTGGTTACATTTTCAAACCTTGAAGCTAAACCTCCTCCGTATGCTTGAAAAGAAAGCTCAGAGACTGTGCCGGGGAGTAGGGGGGGCGGGGATTCACCTCGCATCTGCCTCGCTGAGAACCCCAATAACTGCAGAATGTCCCTGCAGACGGCCCCGTGGACATCGGGGACGGGGTGGGACGGTGGCACGAGGATGGTGGGGCAGGGGGGTGTCCCCGTTTGCCTCCCTCGTGGGGGTCCGAGAGCTGGGTGTGGGCTGCTCTTGGGCGCAGGTCTGTCACTGGAGAGCCTGCTGACCAACATGAGGTGCAAGTGCATCAAAGCGACCGCCCAGGTCATCAACCTGGGGCTGATCCTTGCCATCGACGTTACGCCGCCGGGTATTCACTGCCGGAGGAAGGAGATCATGTAAGTGGGAAGGAGGCAAACCAATTCCTGCGAACCGCTTCCACGTGTAGCGGCACAAAAAACCACGCGGGCGCTCGCGGTCTCTCCCAAGCCCCCAGGTCTTGCGGTGACCCTCGCGAGGCACGGGCTGTTGCAGGGGATGCCACTGCCCGTTTTAATGGGGGTTACCCCCGGATGGGCTCCCAGAGCCGAGGCCGAGGCCCAAAAAATACCACCTATCTCCTGGCAAGGGTCGTGGGGGTGTGCTCACAGCTGTGCCGGGGAGCGAGAGGGGTTTTTTCTGCAGACAGCAGTGTGGTTAGAAAAACTTGGGGGCAGAGGCGTGCGTGGGGCTGAGGGGGTCTTGTCACCTTCCAGCCTTACCATGAAGAAAAACAAGAAGGTGTGCGTGGCCCCTGAGGCGCCCTGGATCCAGCTGCTCATCCACAAGCTGACGCAGAGGTACGCAGTGCCCAGCGCCCGAAAACCAAGCGGCGTATCAAACGTGTTGGCGGGACGCCCTGCTCCTCCTCCTCCTCCTCCTCCTCTTCCTCCTCCTGACCGTTTTCTTTTCCATTTCTTTCCTCCTCCCAAATCCGCAGGAACGGCTCTAAAAAAGAAGCAGCGGTGCGACCACGGCGGGAAGCGTTGCAGTGGTGCCAACCCCCCGCCCCGTCTCTCCCTCTGTCCGGGTACAAGGATAAATAACCAGCCACGGTTATTCATTCCTCTGGGGGGACAGCAGTGATATAACCCCTTTGCGCTGAGGTACGCCAGATTTCGCACCGCAATGCCAGCGCTTGCTCTGCTCCCAGGGTTTCGGGAAGGGGCAGGAGCCTTCCCCCGCTCCCCCCCACTAAAAAAAAAAAAATAAAAGGCTTTCCCCTCAGGCGCCCAGTATCGCCCTCCATTTCAGGTGCCTGCGCTGTTCCTGCACGCGAAGGCAGCCTGTCCCGGGCACCATCAATAAAAGGATGAATGTGCTTCCCTCTTTGGCTGCGGCAGCTCTTTCTGCATGGATTTGTCTAAAAGTTGGGATTTTGGGGGGCAGGGGAGTAAGACCGGACCGTGGCACCGCAAAGCCCTCGGCCGCTTTGCTGCAGGGCACTTCCCAATGCGCCGCCTTCCCTCTGCCCCAAGTTTTTTTGCGCCTTTTTCTGACAGCTCCTGGGAGGAGTGGGTCGTGCTGCGGGACGCTGGCAAGAGTTGGCTGGGATCTGACCTCTGCAGCCCCACGGCGCTGGCTCCCAGCTGGGCGAGCCGCAGGAGAAATGGGAGATACAGGGAAATTTCCCAGTAGGCTGGCTGAGGTTCGCTCCGTGGACCCGTTTTCCTGGGATGGGTGCCGGGGACCCCGACGCGGCACAGGGACGCCCCTCGGCCCCGCGGACCGAGGCGACGCGGGTGGGACTTGCAACCCCGTGCAAAATTATCGCCGCTTAAAAATCCGCCTTGGCCGTGCTGTTAGTAGGTGTCGGAGGTCTGGGGACTTCCCCAAAAGCGTGGGAATCAAATCTGTGGCACGCACCCCGCCACCCCGGCTGCCGAAAGCACATCCCAGGGCAGCTGTGAAACAGCCGGCCGGTCCCCGTGTCCCCCTCCTTCCCGCCCTGGGCTTCCCAGGAACCACAGCAGGGGACAAGAGCGGTTGCCAAAGGGCTGTTTATTGCCTACAGAAGGAAATAAAAGTACATAGGTGGGAAGAAACAAGCAGCTATTCAGCCCTATCCATCACGTGTGAGCAGTATCCACCTCCACGGTGCAGGGGGGAGGTGGTGTTTAAATTTAAAAAAAAAAAAAAGAAAAATTAAAAAGGGAATTAAAAAGTAACAGTGCAGGGTTTTGAGGACCTCCCTCTCCTGGGCTGCCCTAAGGTTAAGGAAAGGCCGGGCTGCTTAGCGCAGTCATCGTTGTTATTTTGTCCGGGCTGGGTCTGTGCTGGGGAGCAGCTCTTCCTCCTGCCCGGGTCCCCTCCGTCCCCACTCGATGGGAATTCACTTTCTTGGTGAGCTTTTCACTACAAAGTAGATTTCCAGGGGGAACTGCACCGTGGCATGGCACCTTCTCCAAAACACAAGTTCTTTCAGAGAGGGAAAAAGGATCCTTTTGCAAAAGCAAAGGAGAAAGCTGGAGGTTTCTTACTATTTATTCTCGCAGGAAACATGGAATAAGCAAGTTACTCCGTTTTTTTTTGCTCAGGGCTCAGTTGGAGGCTGCAGTCTTGGTGCTCCCTAGGGTTGGTGTCAAACTTTGCAAAGCTTTTTGTCCGGGAGCGCTGCCCCGTCCCCATGTCAGGGTTGGAGGGGAAGGCAGCCTCCCAGGGCCCCCCCACCCCCCCCGGCAAAACCAGGGCCGGCTGCAGCCTCCGCAAGCAGCGATCCGCCCATCCGAGAGCCCAGCGCGTTCTCAACGAAAAGCTAAGCCACCATTTCCAGAAAACGAGCCATAAATCCCCCCCTAAAATTTTAGCGTAAGCGTGCCCGGGAGTGACACTGCAGCTCCCCCCCCACCCCCCCGCCACGTGCACTTCCATCTTTCCAGGGACAGGACCTTGCGGTTGCAAAGACAACACACAAGAAAGAAATCCAACTAAAAAAAAAAGGAAAAAAAGCACACACACACACACACCCCCCCCCCCCCGACCTCCCAAAATAACCACCGTGAAATGGGGTGGGAGGGGGAGCCTGGTCTCCCCTCACTGCTGCTCCGGCCCAGCCTGTGAGTTAACGAATTAAGGGCATATTTAGCTAACGTGGTGCACACAAACTTTAATTGCTCGGAAAGCAAACACACGATGCGATAATTGAAAATGGAAAACAAAGCCAAAGTCATGTAACATGTCACTTGTAAAGAAAGCCACCATGAGTTGTCGGTTTGTTGGGTTTTTTTGGTTGTTTTTTTTTTTTTTTTTTTTTTTTTTCTGCTTTGGAACAAAGACAAATACAGACAAATGCAAACTCAGTGAATGCCTAAATTGTGGGAACTGTTTAACAAAGAGGACAAGACCAAGTACCAGGAGAGGGGAAAAAGAGTCCTATCACTTGGTGTACTTTGCCATCAGCGCTGTCTAAAACAACCTAAAGTACCAGAGCACCCGAGGATTTCTCTATCTTCATGCTTATTTCCAGATAAACTCCAAGAGACTGTACTCCTGAAGCCTGTCATCCTCAACCACAGCCAAACGAACAAACTTTATCGTCTCTTAATGCCTTTTATAGAGGCCACTCAGTTTTCTTAGGATGAAGGAGTTTAACTTTAAAGGTGTTATGTCCCTCTTCTGACTGTGCAATGCCCGCGCCTGCCTCACCCGCTCTGGTTTTGGTCCCTGCTCCCATTCCCTGGAGGAAAAGCAAATCCGTGGTCGGGGTCAGTGCAGAGTGGTCACAGCAGAAGATGGTGTATCGCTCAGAGCTGTGCCTGGATCTAGAGCCTTAGAATCTCCTTCTAAAATGGTTTTTAAACTTAAAGCGAGTTCTTGGCTGACGCTTGACACAGAGGCTTAAGACGTGAAGGGTTTCCACCAGGTTCTCTTGGGGTTTGTGTCGCCTTTGAACTCTGAAGGGTGAGAAAGTATGTGACTATACTTCTGTCATCTTATAAAAAACGGATGAGCTGCCTATCACGAGATGCTTTCCCTCACTATGAGGTGGAGAGACTCTACTAATAATAGAGTCTAGCAGAAAAACCTCAACCTCTCTGCATCTAGGGCTCCGTTCTTTTCCAGTCTCTAACAAATCAGGCCCTTTGCCCCTCCAGGCCCCAGCGCTTCAGCTCCTTTTGGGACATGCAAAATTAGGCGTGCCAGTTAGGGATGTGCTCACATCGGTCATCTTTGCGTACAACAGGGAGAGGGTCCTTCCTTGGGTTTAAACGGGCCTTAGATCTTCATTACCATTACAAGAAAAATACCCACGCAGAAGCCAAGAACGGAGGAATCGTAATGATGTGCAAAGCTGAGGTCGCTGGGGAGAGGACAACCGCTACTTGCAATTAAATCCCCTTTTAAACCAGTACCAGGGCGCGTATCGCATCGGTGCAAATATTTCTATTGATTTGCCTCGGGTGGGACTAAAAGACCTTTCACTCCACCCCGCTATGCCAAAGGAAGCTTTTGATGCTAGAAGCTGAAAATGAATCCCGCAAACGAAGTAACTGCCGCTGTGTTGCTGGGTTTACACCCGGTCTTCACATCGTAAGGACCCGCAGCTACTTCTGGCTCCTGCTCCCTCCCGAGAAGGTGTGAATACTGCACTCCTGGTCTAGGAATCCTTCAAGTGTTTCCCCAACCCATCTTCTAAATTAACAGAGAAACTCTGAATTTCAACAAGAGCCTTTTTGGCTGCCCCCTCGCCACCTGATCAAAACCAACCCCACCGGAAAAAAAGCGGTATGAACCTTTGAGGTCTCAAATTCTCACTTGGGGTTTGGACTCGACGTCTCGCAAGCCGGGTGCGGAAAGCCGGTCTCCGAAAGCCCAATATTCAGGATTAAGTGGGAGCTGCAGATGCTCAGCACCTTCGTAAAGCGGGCCTCGGGAGCGTGACTGTGGATACAGGAGTCCCCACGGCACAGCCGGCGAGCTGGGAGCCCGTCAGCCCTCCGCAGCGATACCCGAACGCTGAAGACCATGGTATAGGTTAGAAAGCTGCGTTAGGTCAGCGGCAAGCGCTTCTGAAAAGGTTAAGAGTCAAAGATTTTGGCTTTTTCATCTATAAAACACAGAACAGTGACGACCTGGGACTAACAAGACCTTTCCTGAATGTTTCTGCAGACTAAACAGGAGTGGCTTCCAACAGACAGAGACAGTTTACCAGTAAAACGAAATATTTTCTCAACAAATGCTGGAAAGGGACGACAAAAGCTTTTAATGAGGCAAATGGGAAGGAAAGCTGGTCTCGGACCCCACTGTGCCATACCTGACTTCAGCGTGTGGTACGCAAGTGTTCGTGCTCCTTACATCGAAATAAGGAAACAAAAATATTCAGCTACATTGTACAAAATTCATTTTTTTTTTATATATATATATATATACACACACAAAACCCCATATCTAACAGATTTACCATATTGAATTTTAAAAAGTTGCTTGTCGAAGGGTGTTGGATTTTTTTTTCTCTGCTTGCCTTAGGCAGTGCTGTTGCTTAGAAGTTGACACCAGGCACCATATTTTTGAAAGCAAACCAAGCCAGCAAGGAGCAGTAAAGGGCGTAGGGCTTTTTTTTTTTTTTTTTTTTTTTTTTTTATTATTTTTCCTGGGCATCAGCTGCGAGGGCACTGCGATGTGCTGGGAACTGAGGCTCAGTGATGGAGAGAACTGACGGTTTCCCGGCCGCCTGTGCCGCGGGTTGGGGATATTTTACTTCGTATTATTCCCTCTCCCCTAGAAAACACCCGACCGCCAGCCTCCTTCTGGGTCAAAAGAAACTCAGCGTTGCCATCTGGACGGTGCGTGTGTTCACCGCGGGGGATGCCGGCTCCCCGCTCCCTCCCTCCCGAGAGCAGAAAATCGTCCCGGAGAGCGGCGCCGCTGCTCGGCCCGGAGAGAAAAGCACAATCCCCTTACTGCTCCTGCTGGGAAGGAGGAAAAAACAAAACGAAAACGGGGGGGGGGGGGAGCCAGACACACGAAAGGCAGGGAAACGTGTCCCCCGTTACGCGCACTGACAGAAACATGAACCAGACTTTTTTTTTTTTTTTTAAATTAAATCCAGAGGTTTTGTGCAATGTCTGTTAAAATGACTTTTTCTGAAAAAATTGCACAGCGTAATGGACGTTTGGAAGTGCATTTTGCAGCAGAGAAAATCCAATTAACCACCTTCCCGCAACAGAACACTTCAATCGGTTAGAAACCAAAGGAAAAGTCAAACTTAAGCAGTTTACAATGTTGGTCAGGGTTCTTTTTTTTTTTTTTCTTTTTCACCCCCATCCTCTCCCACCCCGGTATTACAAAACATTGCTGTTTTTTATTTTTATTAATAAATGGGCTCCTCTGCAGTTCATATACAATCATAGGTGAATTTTAAATTCCATTTTATACAAACATCTCAAAAAATATTGGGAGTGAAGTATGGTAGGAAATACTGCTCACGTTGCTAGTTAACATGCGTGTAGGAAAAAGGAGGAGAAGGGTTCGTCAGTGCACACCTCCAGAGCAGAGCACCCCCCCCTCCAAAAAAGATACAGTAGCTGATTACAGAAAGGTAATGTCCACAAAATTAAGTTTTTCATGCTATTCTACTTTCCAGTACTATACTCTCAAGTCGCTTTCGCAATTTCTCTGCAATGGCTAGGTGGCGGACGCTGAGGTATATTAAAAAAGAGACACCTGCACCTCGAGGAGAATCCGTCTTTAGAAAGGGTTTCGGTTTTTTTTTTTTTTTTTTTTTTTTTGGTGCTGCACAAAGCAATTGCTGTACAGAAATTTCACCCGGCTACGGTCGCTTCCAATTTATAGTCGACAATAGATGACGCCTCCGATTTTTAGGCACTTCTTTTAAAAGGGAGTTGCTGTTTCGCTGAACCCATTTTTGAGTTCTGTCCCACACCACCCCCTCCCCGGCCCCCAACGAGAGTCAGGGAATAGTTTCTACTCTAGGTTCAACTGATTTTTGTTTCCCTCCGGATAATTTCCTATGTATAAAACGACAAAGGAAATCTTTAATTATAGAGTAGAGGAACAGCCTGACTTAGCAGTTTTGCAAGACAGAAGATGGCTCCTTAGTATTTAATTTCATAATTTAAATTTGACTTTTTTTTTTAAGTATACGAATGAGACATAAATATAGGCTATCAATCTGTTTAAAAATTTCATTCACATAATGGAAAATTTTTGCATTTATTAAAAATATCACATTTTGAGACTAGAAACAGTAAAGTGCATGAAAAGTTTAAAATATAAATTCAAGAAAATCTTATAGCAGCAAAAAAGCAGAATAAAGAAAAACTTAAAAACACAGACACAACCTTTTCCTATCACTGTGCCATTTTTTTTTTTTTTTTTTAAACATTAAGCAGCCAACCAATTTTTCAGAAAATTGCATTATGTTTAATGCCTCTTGAGGCACCAGGTTTTGAACTGGCCACCTAGAGCACAAACAAAAAAAAAAAAAAAAAAAAAGAAGGGATTTCCAACACATCCAAAGAGCATCAACGGTTGGGAATGAACCAGCAGCTTTTCAATTCAACCCTGACTGACAACGGAAAAGAAAGTTTGATCAAAAAGTGTGATGGCTATTTGGCAACTAGGGTCAGGAAAAATAATCCGAGGAATGACTGCGGCCACCGCTTGCTCCCCCAAAGCAAAAAGCATGCCGACAGCTGCCCCGCGTGCCCTTCGGAGACAGAAGTCGGGTCATTTCCAGCGGCTTTTTTCCTGCACCCTACGCTTAAGCAGTTAATCCCAAGCGCCCCGTCTTTGCAACTGAGCTTGGGGGAAGGGACCCTAAGATGGATTTGCAACTTCTTTATTCGCCCGGAACCCAACCGCTTGCAACGGCTCCTTTCAAGTGCGATTTCTTACCGTTTCTAAGTCCTGCTCCCACGCGGTGCCGCCGAGCAGCGGGCGGCCCGGGCTGGCCGAAGCGGAGAGGCAGCTCTGTTTCACAGAGCTCCTTCGGATCCCTGCGCGTCTCGCCCAGGAAGGGCCGAGCCCTCGAGAGCTCCGGAAAAAAAAAAAAAGCCACCGTGGCGCCCGCTGAGCAAGCGATCTACACACGGCGTTCAGCGCTCGCCCGCCGAGTCTCGCGAGACGCAGCTTCGCTTCCAATTTTCGTTGTCAATGAAGTTACGTCGGGAGAATTTAGACCTCACATTTCGTCACAGGTATTAAGCCATCTTTGGTTTTCTAACAGCAGTTAGATTGAGGGGCAGGGCCCCGCTGCTGATCATTTATAGTCAGGTATTAAGTGCTTCGCTAACGTGCAAAATTTATTTTGGATGCAGAGTTCAGCCCCTGGTCTGGGTTCAAACAAACAGTATTTCTAATAATTCTTCCTACAAAACAAGCATTCCTATGTTTGTTTTTCTTCCTCCTAAAAGTTGGCTCATTTTGCCCCGTTCTGGAAAAAAGCATTACCTTGAAATATGTTAGTAAGCAAGTTTTTAATCTCATTTGTCCGTTTCTAAGTGCAGCTTTCTACTGAAAAGAAAAAGCTTGCCGGTTTAAAAACAAACAAAACAAAAAAGAATTAAATTAAAAACGTGGAAAAGGGAATAATACTTTGGTTCCAGCCCTAGTGCCAAATGATACCAGTATGCACCAAAATGTGCAAAATCTCATATCAAACACATAAGGAGAGGAGCTTGAAGAAGCAGCTTAAGGTTGGCCATACTTCACTCCTATATACTTTGATTTACAACTGTACAGGTCCATAACAACAGGTCCTTGCCCTCAAAGGGGCAGGGCTCCACTACCTCCTGTTCGGCAAGTGCACACCGTTGACAAGAGGCAGGAGCGGAGGATGGAGTTCTAGTTGTGTTAACAGTGAGAAGTGGTCTGAAGGGATGTGAGGGTGTGGACACCCAGTGATGTTGTTGTCAACCAGCCACTGAGGGTCCAAAGGCCCCAGGACACCAAGCACGTTCATGTGAGTGTTGGAATAGAAAATGTAGTCAATCACACCCTAGGGAGAAAGAGAAACACGAGAGTGAGAACAGACCTCGCTTCTGGCAACAACTCACGGGAAGAGGCGCGGCGCTGGCATTGGGGTAAGAGACGCGCGCGGCCTTTTGCGTTCAAAGTCATTAAGTCACCGGCCAGAGCCAGGTCGGAAGCTTAAAAAAGCCAGCAAATCAAGGGTTTGTGTGCGGTAGGAAAAGTGTCCAGCGAGTGTAGGAACCAGTGATGAAGCACTTACAGGAACAGAGGGAAAGACAGCCAATGGTCAGAAAACTAAGACAGCATCCTGGGGAGACCAGGTCAATGTCTGCCATTTCAGAAAAATCGCTGCTTACTTTGAAATCAAAAGTGTAATTGGTGTAAGGCATCAAGTTGTTTTCGTAGGCGCTCTTGAGTTGGAAGCCGTGCGTAATTCTTCCTTCAGAAGCCCCGTTTTTCCCATTGCCACTGAAGTTCATGAGACACTCGTTATAACGCAACTCCTTGAAGTCCTTGTGGTTGTCAGCTACTATGCCATTGCTTAAGTATTCCACTACACCTGTTTGCAAAGGAAAGGATTCAGGGAGTTGCTTTAAAATACAACGTTCAGGGAGTGTTGGCCTCGGAGTTAAAAACCGAAACACCAATAAGACACACCACGAGATCAGAAAAGAGCTTTCCACCTAAGGGCAAATCTACACCGCAGCCGCCTTGCCCGCGGCCGAGCCGCACGCACCCTTCTGACACGCAGCCAGGGAACTGAGGCTCTCCAGTGGTTTTGACACCATTTTTTGAGGATTACAGTAAACCCACAGTATGGGTACCACAGTACGCATGCGACGGGGTGCTAGAGAAGCAGCTTTCCTACGTATACCTGATATTACAGTATGGAGTGTCATCATTACTAAAGCAAACCCATTGCTTTTGCCAGTATTCATGTTCCATCACGAACGCGTGTCTCTCCTGCTTGCTACTGCTGCTCAAGGAATGGGTGTTTGCTTAATGATTTACTTAAGATCTGTTTGTGCTTTTCTACATCTCTGTAGGTGCAACCAACTTTCCTGGAGCGTACAACTGATCACAAAAAGCAGTCTACTCAACTGGAGGCCTCGTGTTCTCTTCAGCCAGAATGTGAAAGACAGCTGTTGCTAAGAAAGCTTTCATCCATACCTACCCAGGGAAGTGCAACTCGCCCCATCGCCCCCAAAGGATTCAAAAAGAGGACTCAAACATTCTATAAAGGTAGGCTGAAGATTAAGCCAAAGTCAGTCTTACCTGAATCAGGCAATGAGTTGAGATCCGCACACAGCACCAGAGGGATAGAGTTAGGATCTGCTGTTGGGCTACCAGGCCTGCTTGAGGCTTTCTCGAGGATATTTTTCAGTTCCGAGACAAACATCATAGTCTGAATGAGTTTCACATCTGAGTATTCGGGGTCCCAGTGCATGTGGGCATTGGCCACAATAAGCAGCTGTTTGTCCACATGAAGCGATTTCATACCTGGATAAACAAACACATTTTTATCAGTGACAGGATGATTGTGTGAATACAGCAGATTCCCCCCCCCGTTAGCATTCAGGGCCTAGCTACTAAGGACACCAAGTCAAACACACCAGCAGATGGATGTGCTTTTGTTGCTGGAAAAAAGGCATTACCTGAACCACCACTCCTTTCTAAATCAGCAGCACTGACATAGTATTACGTGACTAAACGTCTCCAGGATAGGAAAGAAATAGTTGGCATGATCTGATACCATTACCATCGCTTTCCTTCTCCACCACTCAAGTGGTCATCGCTTGACCGTGCACCACTATTCAGTATTTAAGGCACAAGGGAGGTTCCTGACTCAGAGCTGCCATGGTACGGCAAATTGTTCCCTTGGGAAAAAATCAAACCTGCTTAAATGAATGCAGTATGCACATGGCTGCTGCAAAATGCTGTAGCTGCTTTTCCTATTCATCTGAGAAGCCATACTCTGAAAGATGGGGCATAAAGCCACAGGCAGCTCCTTCTAGTCCTGCAATTTCAATATTTTGCTCCTCTGGAGAGCACGCTGGCAATACGCGATCAAAAAACCAGACACGCAGACAGAGCACGGTGGCAATTTTAAGTATGTTGAAATTGTCTACTGCATCTGATCAAACTTAATGAAAATGTGACAGTCAGTCAAGTGGCATGAGAAGGTATCTGATAATACCTTTCCTCCACATCAGTATATTAGGACTGTCACGTAACGACTGGGGGAGGATGAAAGGATTCAGTCAAGGGGAAAAAAAGAGAGTTGAAAGCAGAAGTTGACTATTTCCAACTACTGGCAAGATATGCATGTAAACACGCTGACCTCGGAAAAGCTTAATTCTTCAAGTAGAATTTAACAGAGTTAAGTAAGCAGGGACAAAACATCTGACTGGGAGTGCAACCAGACCAGGAAATCACGTCACCTGTGTCCTGCCTTAGCCACCGATGGGCTATCATTTCTCACATTAGCACAGTGAGCAGCTTCTGCTCATCTGCGAGTATTTGGTCACCACCACCACCTGCAATAATATTCCAGAGAGCCGTATTATCTAGGAATAACACACCTTTACACGGAACTGACTAATTGACAGGAGAACCACGGTCATACTCACTTGCTCCAAATAATTCTTTGTGCACCTCTAACACCACGGCAACTCCGATGTTGTCCTTCGTCATCACTCGGTTTAACATAGCTTCTGAACCTTCTGAGTTAGCCATTGCCACCTGGTTGAACTCCACCGTATGCTTCTGCACCAGTGTGAATCTGATTAAACAAAGGGAATCGCATGTGAACACGTGTGACGCACAGCTACGTGAAAAGACACGGTTTCTATCTGCCCTCCCGTCTACCATGTCCAAGGAGAGAGCCTGAAGGACAGGGAGAGGCACGTTTCTTTTGTCCTCTCCTTTTATAAGAGTGAAAACAGTTCTAAGAAATACTCCCCCAGTCAGGATGGAGCTCTCGGTCTGGCAAGTGAGATACTCTCAGGGTATTCGAGATAGGTGGGGCTGAGGAGGTGTTTACTTGTTTCAGCATAGCACGCCGAGACGACTATTTAGAGCAACGCTCAGAAGTTATCGCACCTCCTCGGGAGTGTTCTAGGCTAAAAATTAAGATGAGATGGTAATTAAAGGCTTGCCTTTTCCTTTGGGCAAATGCATTATTAAAAAACAGCTTCTTGCAAACCACTAGCTACCACCATTAGTTTTGTGAAATTGGTTTTTCACTCCTTTCCAGCCTTGGGATGCCCAAAGCCACCTCGCTTCGAGACAAAACAAAGGCTACCTACTGAAAGGGTTTTTTTTGTTTTGTAGTCTATGAAAATTTAAAAGGAGTATTACTAGTCTTCTGTTTCTACCTGAGAGAGCCACAGCTTAATAACCAGACCTCTCTACACTCCCGTTGGTTTCAAGGTTTGAAAAACATCAGTTGCTTGTTTTCACAGACTTCCTCTATTCAAAACCAGTCGAGTTGTTTTTATACAAGTTCTGAAAGGCGTATTTTTGTTGCTGGAAGCGCTGAAAACTCTGAAAGGGAGCTAAGGCTTTGCAAAACTTCCATTCTAATTACTGAAAACTGTTCCGAGGGAATATTCAAAGGGATACTCGGTGTGGCACAACCCGTGAGCAGTTTACAGAGATGGGGAGTGTGAATGCCAGCACCTCTCTGCCCTTCCCAACAGTTTGATGCTTTTAGTGTAGCAGAACTTTTTGGATCAAGTATTCCGTAATGTAATGTTTCGATTCATAAAAGCAGAGAATATTCTATGATCCTATGGCAGCAATACATCTTTTAATACCTGAAGATTAAGCCAGCACAGCTTAGAGCTCTTTAGTCTTAGAGGAGTAAAACTCCTGTCAAGGAAGGCAAAAGTTTGTAGAGAAGGTGAGGTATTTATTAGATCTGCCCCAAAAAATGCGCACACATGTAAGCGTGTAAGTTTTTACTCATACTAGCTCTCCTGCAACTTCCACATTTCCGAAGAGATACCTTGGTTAGTAGTCTGAAAGGAACGGAAGGCTCCTGTTGCAAACAGAACTGCAAAAGGGAGGGGAGGATCGTTCTTTGTAGTGAACTTTATCTTTTGTTTTACAGCACAATACCTTCACTACCACGTGCCCTGCGAGAGGAAAGCTTTCAGACCTAAGTCAAGCTGATTTTAACATATCTTTAAAAAGCTGCTTCTGCCCCTTACTTTTCAGTTTTGAAGAATATTGCACAGCCATCCACATGCTTTTTCTCCTGCTCAGACATGATTTTGGCACGTGACTTTGGAGAAAAGAATCCATCGTATCCTCGTTCTTTCAAGGCTGGCAGAAAAAGGGTGAAGTATTGCTCTGTTTCCACTTCCTGGAATTGAACACAAATACCTTAAGCTGACAAAGTCAAGTACACGCTTCTTATCGCTGTATGGCAACCTGGGCCTGCCCTGGCTTGCAGTCAGCAGCTCTCACCAAAGTGAAAAGCTTCTGTTTGCACAAATCACGTCGCTTCCTAGATTAATGGCCTGCTGGAAACAGATTTGCATTCCTGGATATCCTGGAATCCCCCCAAAAGGAAAAGTGACAGGTGTATTTTGAATAGCAGTAGATTACACCTGATATTTTTGACATCTGAATGTGGATGCTGTCCTGGGTTAAAGCTTCTGAGAGGTCAACAGATATCCAGCAGCAATTAATATTTAATCGGGAGAGCTCTTTCGCGCAAAGGTCTCTCATTGTTCTGTAACAATACATTTTCTTTGTAGTAACATTTGGTCTCCAAGAGGATTTCAGAGGTTGATCTCTTCAGGTTTTCAGACCAAGATAACTACTCTCCTCTTGTGTGAGATTTCTGCTTACCAGAACTTGCTTAAAAAACAAAAGATCAGTTTAAAGGCAGAAACGTTCAACTGCTCTAAACATCAACAATAAATTTCTAATAACAGAGCAGGATACATGTATCAATGACAACTGAAATTTAACTTTGACCACGAGAGTCCCCTTGCTTGCCAATGAGAGTGTTTTTGAGACTTTAACTTCGGTAGCAAGCAGGACTGGACTAGGAACAGTGGCATTTGGGGATATAGCATGCTACATTCTCCCCTCCTACAGTAAACCCCATACACCCAGAGGGAGAATATTTAGGATTCTTATCCAAGGGGAAAAAGACCCAGATCTTCCAACGCAAATCACCTACTGATTTAGCTAATTTTCTCTCACTTACTCTGTCTAATTCCATAAAACACAAGCCAGTGCGTAAACAAGGAGCTGTGCACACAGCTTGTATTGGTAAGCCCCGGAATTTCTTAGCAAGCAGGCGAAGATGGTTTTCTCAAGAGAGCATTTCATTCTAAAGGTGGAAATTAATGTTTTCTGTTTCTGACGAAAAATACAGTTGGTTTTTTTTTTTTCGAATTACCTGAAGACTAATGATATCTGCATCACAGTTGACGATTTCTTCCATGATTCCCTTCTTTCTGTACTCCCAATTGAGCGCCCAAGATGGGCAGTAGCCATAGAGCTGCCGGGTGGCATACTTATCACACAACACATTGTAACACATAACGGTGAATGAAGCTGAAAGGAAGGAAAGAAAGAAAGAAAGGGAAAGGTTATCAACCTCTGAAGATTACAAATGCTGAACTTATTCAAGCCAAAATACTGAATCTTACATGGTTTATTATGGAGGGCCTACTGAACACAAGTCAGTGGGCTTATTCCACTGAGCGTTTCATGAGCAGGAGTAAAAAAGGCCCTGCTGAGCCAGCAGTTACCACGTAAGGCTAAACTCTTCCTGAAAAAAAATCAGCATTACTATCAAAACGAGAGGGCGTCATGTGCATAACAGAGCAATGCAATCCCATTTTGCAGTCAATTCTTTGTTACCTTTGGGGATGGGGGAGATCTAGGGGTCGGCAACAATTAGGAACAGTCTCTCTCTTTGGTAAGGAGAGGGAAAGGAGCAGCCATTTCAGTGCTGGAGTCAAAACCCAGCATTTATGGCATGAGGTGCCTCGATCCAGCAACTTCAGGCTGAAGTGACCTGTACAGTTCTAAAGCAAAAGCAAAACCAAGCTGCTAAAGAAGCTGTTACTATGTCATGACACCACAGCATCAGCCAGAAACGCTGCGTTAGAATGCTACATTTTTAGGCAGTCTGATTTCAAAACGTTCGTACAATTTTCATAGCACCTGTACAACATTTATAAGTTGCATCTAGTTGTATCTGTATCTATCACGTCCAAGGGCAAGAGAGAGGTCTGGGAGAGGGCAAGGAAGAGAAGAAGAAACTAAGTCACAAATTAGCAAGCAGCTACAATGTTATTTGGTTGCATTAAAAAAAAAAAAAAAAAAAAAAAAAAAAAAAAAAGAGAGAAGTCAGCATGCAGCTCATCAGGTCATTAACTTGAAACACACTTCTTTCACACACAAACTTCTCAACTCCCTTAGATTTTACACCAAGACTAAAAGATAGGGAAATGCAACATCCTAGCACCATGCCACTGGAAAAGACTGCTCATATCTGCAGAGAAACAAGTGAGGTTTTACGGTGAGGCTAGCCCACAGCTGTATTTTTTTATACTCATAGTCAAAGATTTCTGCTGTTTGGTTGTTTCACTTTTACAACAACAACCAATTGGCACATTACAGTTTCTACCATGAAATATTCCACAGCTCACTTGCCTAACGCTATCCTTTCTGAGGCACACTTCTGAATTCTGTTTCTGCTCAGAAAGTTTGATTTAAAAAATAAAACCAAAGTCTGTAAAACTCCAATGAGAATACTGATTTGCAAGGGAATTTGGAACAGAAATGCAGAACTTAATGTTGTGGTGGCTTATAGGAGTTTTGGCATTTTCCATTCCTTCCTATTTTTTTTCCTGGTTTGTTGTTCTTTAATATAAAAGAAGTGACAGATGATCTCAACTGCAACATTAGCCTGCCTAACACATGACTTGAGTTGTTTTGAAGACCTGCCATCACACTTCGAAAATGAAAACAGACTGCCACATTATTCTTGCTGGTTATTAAGCTGATCTTCTGCAATAACAATAGTAGCATTTTCCTTCCTTTACACAAGCTCACAGATGCTTTTTGAGGACTATATTCAGGATGTGCAGGATAAGAAGAGCCAGTGGATTTGGACAGCCTGAAGAAATGCTGCCTCTTGCACTGTACCAAAATCAACAATAGAGGGCATTAAACTAACTTCGGTACCAGGCACTCCACAAGTTTGCTTGCAGATAAGGACTTCTCAAAGTCTCACTTTTTTTTCAGCCTGTGCGTGGGGACGGCATTTGTGCACAGTTATTTTACAGTTCTTATTATTTCTGAGAAGTGAATTTTTTTAAAAAAAGCTCTTTTGCTTGGGCATCAGTTGCTGGAACAGTCATGAAAAAGCCTAACATGGGAAAGAAATGACCAGCATCCCATCCAAATTACAAAAACTATATTTACAGCACAGCCATATGTTAATAGTTTTAGTGCAAATGAACACAAATTGCTACTTTCAATCTGATTCATGTAAGGCTGAAGACTCCTCTGAAAATAAAGCCAAAGAAAAGTGTATCACTGCATGAGCATATGGAGAAGAACCATAGATTTACCTGAGGGCAGAATTTGGTCTCGTTCTTTTAAAGTAATCCATGGCCTTGGAGGCAGCTGCTCTGGATGAACTAAAAAAAAAAATAAAACAGTGATTAATTCAGGGTTTATATTTGTAAGTTACAATTTCTAAGTCAAAATGATGACTGAGCAATAATGTTCCATACCGTGCTTTGCAACCCCAACTCCCAAACACTTTTTATGCTCCACGGGAGGCAAAAATCATGTAAATGGCTAGCTACAGTAAGAGGAACTTTGTCAGTTGTAAGACTCACGACTATTTTTGTCGCTTGCTTTCAAATCTAGAAGCACCACTGAAATATCCCTGCACCTTGAATACACTGCTGAAGAAGGAGGGGTAAATCCTGTGGCGGTTCAGACATCCTATACTCCCCTTCTCCAAGAACCTCACCCTATATCCATCACTCCTGCAGTGTTTTAACTTGGTAGACATTAAGTGGCAAAACAGCTCAGTTACAAAACCATGAAGCAGGATTTAAGTCAGGTACTGGACATTCTTAATCACTTTGGTATTTCTAGATCGAAATTTGACATTCTGCTTGCATGTGGATTGTAATTTCTAGCGGAAAGCATCAAAATGGCTTCAGCAAGGAAGACTTTGTTGGTAATTGAAGGGTTTCTAACAGAACAGTGGGAACTGCTGGCTGTAACATGGTAACGTGGGAAAAGCTTAGACAATATATGGCAACCTCTTCCACCGTGTTCAAGCATGTGTACGACTGGAACCACTCAACAAAAAAGCAAAAGCAGTTAGAAAACACACTCCCTTCAGTGGTTCAGATTCTTGTTTAAGCAGCAAACACTGTGAGAAATGCATGCTTTTAAACCATTTCTGTCAATCAGATTAGTAGGGTTGTCACCTGCTAGATTGTCAAGCATGTAGTTCAGTAGCTTTCGAGTTCCGTCTGGATCCTGGTAGAGGCTGAGAATATCTTGTGATAAAGGATTGCCTGCCAACAGCATAAAACAACAACTGGGTGATTAGCTGCCTGACTTTCTTGAGGCTTTCCAAACAAAGAAAATCTTCCATAATGAGAACAGAAAAATTGACCCAGAAGGTATTTAGGTCGCTTAACTTGGAATTGTAGAGTACCACCGTATCAGTATAGAAATTGCTAGCACACATAAGACTTTCTTCCCTCGACTGACTTCAATCAATAATGTAGTAGGTTAAAGGGTTTATTTACCTCTCTACAGATTTGAAATAGGCTCATAAGGAAGTTTAACAGCATTAAAAAAGAAAAGCGCTGTTATCCAAACTGCCTGGTCATTTTTGCTACCAGCTTAGTAGCTCAAATAAACTTTAAGAAAATGATGAGGTAATACACAAAGCTTTTGAGCCCAGCCCCCTCAGTAAGTCAAGAGTACTCCCAGGAATATTTAACTGTAAAGAACTCACTCACCTTTCAAACCTAGGGTTTGTAGCTGGAAGAGCCGTCCAAGTTCATAAGGCAAAACCCGTAACAGATTGTTATTTAAAAGCAATTCCCTGCAGCAAATGCAAAAACACTTTTGATGAGTATGACTTCAGAAGAAAACTCTTAAAGCGCTATAGGCCACTCCTCTTCAAAGATGACACTTTTAACCCTGAATTTTTTTATATTGTAGAAAGATATGCCAATCTTCCCATTTTAAAGCACGACCAAAATACTTTCATTAGGGAAAAAAAAAGCCACAAAACCCCCAAAACATAAAATTAAATCAGAGAGAATTTAAACAGCAGGCGATCACCAAGTCTCAAAGAATGTTTCAGAGCAGAAGACTACGTATCTTACAGACATGCACCTGTAGAGATCAGAAAAGAAGGGTAATGAACCCAGAAGTAACTATTAGAACTGAAGTTTTGCACCAATCTTGAATTTTTCAGAATTGTTTTAAATATAGGAACGGAAAGCAAAATAAAATTCTCATTCCCAATGTCAGAATATAGATTTTTGTAAAGTTAACCAGAATAATTTCTCTCACCTGAGAGACACCATGTTTCCTAGTTCTGCTGGTAAACTTCTGAGTTTGTTGGATGACAGATCCAGGTAAACCAGATTATGAAGCTTGGCAATATCAGGTGGAATGCGAGTAAGGTTATTGTCATTGAGGTGCAGAGCAGTCAAGTGCGTCAGCGACCAAAGTGACGTACTTAAGCTCCGCACTCTACCTAAAAAAGAAAAGCAAAGAACCACCTCTTCAGTCAGGCCTTGCGCTCTCAAGCCATCAGATACAAACTACGGGGGATGTCAGAATATGGCATTTCCAGTGTGGAAACCTTACCGCTTCACGGGAACGCTCAGTGACGCTCGTGTATCTTTTCTACGAGCAGACTTGAAATAGTTACCTAATCCTCCCCGTTAAAAGGATAGAGACAGAGGTACAGTTCTAGGGAAGCAGATGTGCTACCCAAAAACTCACATCCAACCTGAGGTGGTGTTTTAAATCTTAATATGAGCTAGCCAAGCTCGAAGGCAATCTGGTAAGGCAGTTAGTCCTCCTCCCCCAACTCAGAAAAACTGTTTTTGCAACAGGATTCCCTATCTGGAAGTGTCTGGTGTGATTCTGAGGCACCAGCAACTTCACTGGAGCAAAATTCGAAACCAAATCAACTCACCCGAGATCTCTAATTCAGCCCAGTGTGACTTCTTCCCGTTGGCTACCTCTTCTGCTGACATGATGGTATAAATTCTGTGAGGATCTGGAGGATCATATTTTTCCTTTGGCATCCCTGTTAGTCTGAAAGACCATCACAACCGTTATCGTCTGCCACTCAACAACATTTCTTCATTTCTAGCCCACCAGGTGATTACCTTCCCCAGTGACACTCTGCAAAAACACATGCCTTGGATGTACGTACAATAAATATTACGCTGACACCAGCCTAACTGCTCCCAGCACACGGATGTAAGCAGGTGCTCAGACCTGTGCAGAATACGGGCCCGTAACAGAAAAGGGCCCTTCTTCCTACAAAGGTTAGTTTTCTGCAGTCATCCGCAGTGCCACCTTGTACTGCCCCGATGCAGACTTTCTGGATTTCCTAGTTTATCCCCTAGACCGAAGCGTAGCCTACGTCACCGCCGGGTTATTTGCTGTGTGCAGAACCTGCAGACAAGATGACAGCATTTCGCTACGCACAGCGGAAGCAGACGCATTGTCCCCTCCTGTAGTTTTCACAGGGAGCCGACGACCGAAGCGAAGGCTCTTCTCTTTGCTTTTACAGCAATTATTTTCAACATACAAAGTCCCACTTTTGCACTCCACTTATACAAGACTTGAAATTGCAGTCTGAAGGGGAATTAGCTCAATTTTTCCATTAACTACCTAGCTTTTCTGTTTTGTGCTTTTTCATGCTCAGTATCAGTCAAGACCTTTTAACTCCTAATGGCCTAGGAGACATAAAACGAGCTCAGGTAAAATTCTCATTAGCTGTTCTCGTGCATACAGGGCTTCAGCCCAGTCCAAAAGTTTAATTTCAGATGCACTCATGTCTTAAGGGTGATCATCTGCACACAGAAATTCAGCTGATCTTATTTTCCATATTCTTGCCACAAGAGAGCTCCGACATCCCATTCAAAACCCATACATTTTCCAGATGACACGAGGAGAAGTTTCCCTCCACACCTCCCCAAACCGTTGTGCTGAGAAAGACTCAGGGGGGGAGAGGGGTGGTTTGGTTTAAAAATGTAAGGTTAGCTGAATTTGCTGTTCACTGGTCTTTTCCTCCCCAGACACACAAAATGCACAAACCTTGATTTTACACAAATCCAAAGCAGATGGTCTACAGAACGCATTTTTTTCCTTCATACATACATCTCTACTACAACTGGCTGCAATAGCTGTGAAGCTCTTAAAACAACTATAACTTGTTTGGTTTGCTGAACTGATGAGACAGAAAACTATGAAGAATTTGAAGAAACTAGTTCAGATTCTTTTTCAGCTAGTCCAACTAAACAAAGATCACGTCCCCTTTATGAGCTTGAAATACTGCAGTTTTTTCCAAGGGATGCAGATAGTCAGATAGCATTCTGGCATTGCATAGGAGCAGGAGTTGTCACAGCTGTCCCCTGCAAAGGGTCTCACTTACAGGTCTGGTGCTTTCTTGCCTGATGAATGCCCAAGGAAATTCCATTCCTGCTGAATTAAGGCTCCCTGTTGCAAGCGCAGGGCAGATGTGAGCCCCACATTTAATTATAGCCAACTTGTAGCTACAGGTGAAGTCACACGGCGAGAAAAGCTACAGGGTAAGAGGATTCTGCACTCATGCTGCTCAGCTGCAGCAGTTCAGTTTGGGGCAAGGAATGAAACAGATTACCTACGGATACAGAATTAGACCTGAAATCCTTCGATCTCCATTTCAGAACCCCCAAACTGGGAATGGTACTTCCCAACAGTCAGAGTTACAGGCTATGTTTCAGGAGTCCTACATCTCTGCTGCTTGGGTTTTGCTGGATTCATCTCCCCTGTTAAATATGTGCATGTGCAGAAGCAGGGAACAGCCCTGGCCCCAAGAACAGATTCCTCACAGCCCCTGCTGGGAGCCACAAGAGCCCGATTTCACCTTTTTTTCCCGGGGCATCCATGCCCTTGGACGCGTATGAAACTAATCCACATTCCAGCGAGTCTCGACACGACTCTTCCTGGATTTTGCTAGACCCCTGGAACCGACCAGAAACATCCAGCAGAGCCGTGAATCACTGCCGAGACGAGGGGGGGGGGGGGGGGGGGGGGGGCCAAGCCCGGAGCACTGGGAGAGCTCGCAGTCCCTGGCAGCTGCGGAGAGCGCAGTCCCAGTCCCACCGCCTGCGAGGAAACACAGCGCAACACTACCACACTTTGCCTTAAAGCCTAACTGCCTCGAGCAGCACCGAGTGTATTGCTCAGCATACTACTCGGTACGAATTTTATGTGATATATACCCGAATCAAGACCACAGTTTCGTACGCGGCATAAACGGCGCGAGTCTGTCTGTGCCAAAAAGCAGCAAGCCAGGTTTGCTGCAGGTAAAGCTGTCGCACCGCTGTCACAGGATTACCTGCAGTGACCCTTTAACAGAAAATGAGATTTCGTTACCTGCCAATATTTATCTCATCTGCAAGGCATACTGCAGATTAGAAGGGGGAAACCTAAAAGCTGGGTGGGGAAAGTCAAGCAGAATACCAACAAGGGATTAAGTGTTTATGGCAGAAGGGAGTTTTTTCGATCTTTAAGTCTTAATTATCAGACATCTGAACTGGCCCAAGATGGGTCTTCATTTCGGTTTTTAATCTGTTGTATCTTAAAACAATTTGTACTTCTACCACATCCGGACCTAGGACATCACAAACTTTGCTTGTCCAAAACCCAGCACCAGCATTTGGGTGAGTGCTCTGTGAAACGCTCTGTGCTGACAAGGTCTTTGCATTCATATTTTCTACAGCATAATATTACAGTAATACCAGACCCAGGCAGATTTAAATTCCAGTTTCTGCATACTGAAACTCCTCCCTGCCTCACATACTGCTGGCAAAAGCTCTGGCCACAGTTGCTTCCCATGGGCTTCTCAAGGTGAATTTCCAGCTAAAAAAGCAAGCAAGAAATTATTGGTATTTCAGCTCGCTGGTTCATGGCAAGCCAGACACAGCTGACTAACAGCTCAGGAAGGCTCAGTCCAGCCAGGGGTCCTTGCTGCCACATGCACGTTGATTCAAAGCCTCGAAGCAGTGGTGGCCTCCTCCATCTGCTGAGCAGCCTTGCTGGAAATCAGAGCGGGGCTTGCCGTTCTCCCTGCCAGACCCTCGCAGCTTCACCCCTCGCAACAGGGGAGAAATCGGACACATCTCCCAGGGCCTGGTGATAAAGTTTTTAAAACGCTGGTGGTTAGACCCTCTGAGTCACCCCACAGTCATCCATACCTGCCCGCAGGCCAAGAGATGACCACTGACCAGGTGACACCATCAAAAAGCTGCAGGATTACAGTTTCCTCCTTGGCAGGGAACCCAATTAAATTATGTTGAAATATTGCTCATTATGAGAAGTGCTCTGCCAATTTAGAGCAATTTGCGGCAGTCAGAGGCCCTCCAATGAAATAAGCCCTGAACTGCGAGTCAAACGACCCGCACATTTTTCAGATATTAGTCACTTTAATATTATTTTGAAATAGTAGTGAGTCAAACGAGCATCGGTGTAATTTCCACAGTTACAGAAAAGGGAAAACAAACCTAAATCAAATACCCCTTTTTTTTTTTTTTTTTCCTTCTGCATAACAGCAACATTGAGCAAGACTTGAAAGCCACCACATGTATTTTTCTGAAGAAAAAATGAATTCTGCCTGGGTTCCCAACTCCTATCGTTCCCATCTGCCCCTCTGCTTGTCCTGGAACTAAACCAGTATCCAAAAATCCCAACCTATTTTTGCTCGGTCTTCAGGGAGCTACACTGATTTCCCTGAATCAGTTAACCCCCAAATCAGACATGCATTAGGGCTGTCGCAAGGAACAAAGCAGGAAGACCCGGCCAGGGACTGATTTAGGTCAGCTTGAGCTGTTGTGGAGTTGCACCCTGCGGGTTCAAGCAAGGTCTATGCTAAAATTTAGCTAACACAGGTGTGACATGAGCAGAATACGTGCACTCTGTTTCTTTGCTTTTCAAGTGGGACAAAAAAAGCCATTCTTGCTCACTTTTCTTCTAAAGAGTACCCCTGGAAAACTTTTGAAGGTACTGAAACTTGCTCTCCACTACAAATCTACCCATGTAAACTTAAATAGTATGAGCCTGATATTGTGTAAATTAAAGAAAACCTGAATATGAGAACATCAGTGCATTAGTGAGAACAATATTTAAACTCTGACCAAACTTTGAAATGTGGGGGTTCCTAACAAGCTCATGCTCACGCGTTAACTCTTTGGCTACAAGTCCATCCTCAAAAGCCTAGCAATGATGGGCATAGCAGGGTTACTCAGCTGAAACCCTGAGTATGGGCCCAAGTGAACTTACGCAGCTCTGGCTCAGCTGTATACAAGAAAGGCTACTGGGAAGTTATTTGGTTTGGCAGTGGTGCAAGCAGTGGGGCTGTGGTTGCCTTTTTTTGCATTCTTGTTCTATATGCTGTTGTAACTGCTAGCTTTTGTGTAAGGGGCATACTGACTATCAGTTAAAGCTGAAAAAAAGAGGAGCAACGCAGCAGGACTGAAGATGTGAAGAGTGTGACAGAAGAAAGTTTTGGGCTATCAGGCTATGCCACAGGCTTTTACTCTGAAGACACGTTTTTTGGGCAACAAGTGGAAGCTTCTGCACACTCGGAGTTTCAGACTACTGGGTAATAACAGAAAAAGAGTGCTGCTCTTCTGTACTTAACTATGTAAGACCTTCTCAAGTTATCCAGGTGTGGGGAATGTGAGATAGGGAGGATCTAGTCAGCCACATGAAATACAAACGGTGTTTTTTCTTAGGGAGAAGCTGGAGGCAGCCCTACAAACTGAATCAACACAACAAGAGAAAAAAGGATACTATGCTTGGGATTAAGAAATTTTTTAACTCATAGTGTTTGGGGTTTTTTTTTGTTTTTTGGTTTGTTTTTTTTTTTTTGTATGGGTGGGGGAAATCAACTGCAGCTGTGAACATAGAAGATCTCTTCCACTACACAGCACATCCAAACACACCAAAGGAACTATCTCAGGGTCACTATGAGAGATGAACTGCATCACTATAACTTTTAGTAAGTCAGCTCTATGCTTCTGAAGGCAAATATCCCCCATCAA